ACGGATACTGTAAATCAGAAACCTCAACAAAACTCGATTTTATATATTGAGTTATTTTTTTTTTTTTTAATGCCATGTCCTCTTGCCTTCACTTTCTTCCTCTCGTCTCTTTCCATTTTCCTTCTCAACCGCTTCTATTTTCCCGCCACAAACCTTCTTATCTTCTTCGCGCCACACCAACTTCTGCAACAGTGGAAGTTTCCGACGCCGTTGATGTCGCACCTTCGAAGTTTATCTCTCAGTCACGTTCTCCGGAGTGGTGGATTGATTCCCTCCGGTCGAAAGTTCGATCGAATTTGCTCAAAGAAGCGGTTTTGATTTACATTGAAATGATTGTTTTGGGTATAAAACCAGATAATTTTGCGTTCCCTGCTCTGTTGAAAGCTGTGGCTGATCTTCAGGATATGAATTTGGGGAAACAGGTTCATGCCCATGTTTACAAATTCGGATACGGAGTGGATTCCGTGACTGTTGCTAATACACTTGTGAATTTGTATAGAAAGTGCGGGGATTTCGGAGCTGTTTATAAGGTGTTCGATAGAATATCCGAGAGAAACCAAGTCTCTTGGAATTCTTTGATTTCTTCGTTGTGCAGTTTTGAGAAGTGGGAAATGGCGTTAGAGGCATTTCGGTGTATGTTAGATGAAGATGTAGAGCCTAGTTCGTTTACTTTGGTGAGTGTGGCTCTCGCTTGCTCGAATTTGCCTATCCGCGAGGGATTGATGTTAGGTAAGCAGGTTCACGCCTATAGTTTGAGAAAAGGTGAATTGAATTCGTTTATCATCAATACATTGGTGGCAATGTATGGTAAACTGGGAAAATTTGCATCTTCCAAAGTCTTGCTTGGATCTTTTGAAGGCCGTGACTTGGTTACGTGGAACACTGTCTTAAGCTCGTTGTGTCAGAACGAGCAATTTCTTGAAGCATTGGAGTATTTGCGCGAAATGGTGCTCGAAGGTGTTGAACCAGATGGGTTCACTATTTCAAGTGTTCTTCCTGTCTGTTCCCACTTGGAGATGCTTCGGACGGGGAAAGAACTGCATGCCTATGCTTTGAAAAATGGCTCTCTGGATGAGAATTCTTTTGTTGGCAGTGCTTTGGTTGACATGTATTGCAATTGCAAGCAAGTGTTGAGTGGTCGTCGAGTATTTGATGGAATCTTTGATAGAAGGATTGGTCTTTGGAATGCTATGATCACTGGGTATGCACAGAACGAGCATGACGGGGAAGCGTTGTCTCTGTTTATTGAAATGGAAGAAAGTGCTGGGCTTCTGGCTAACACAACCACAATGGCAAGTGTTGTCCCTGCTTGTGTCCGTTCTAATGCATTCTCCAGAAAAGAAGCGATCCATGGATTCGTCATGAAAAGAGGTCTAGATGGAGACAGGTTTGTGCAGAATGCACTGATGGATATGTATTCTAGGCTGGGAAAGATTGATATCGCGGAGATGATATTCAGTAAAATGGAAGATAAAGATTTAGTTACGTGGAACACGATGATTACGGGTTATGTGTTCTCAGAATTCCATGAGGATGCGCTTCTTGTGCTACACAAGATGCAAAACTCTGAAAGAAAAGCGAGTGAGGGTGTTAGCCGGGTAGGTCTGAAACCTAATTCTATCACTCTGATGACAATCCTCCCCAGTTGTGCTGCACTATCAGCATTAGCAAAGGGAAAGGAAATCCATGCTTACGCTATCAAGAACAATTTGGCAACTGATGTAGCTGTAGGAAGCGCGTTAGTTGACATGTATGCAAAATGCGGGTGCCTACACATGTCGAGAAAAGTGTTTGAACAGATTCCAATAAAAAATGTTATAACTTGGAATGTGATTGTAATGGCGTACGGGATGCACGGAAACGGGCAAGACGCCATAGATCTGCTCAAAATGATGATGGCTCAGAAAGTAAAACCGAACGAGGTTACATTCATCTCAGTATTTGCAGCTTGTAGCCATTCAGGCATGGTGGATGAAGGATTAAGGATATTCTACAATATGAAAAACGACTATGGGGTTGAACCTAGCTCAGATCATTATGCCTGTGTTGTAGATTTGCTTGGAAGGGCAGGTAGAGTTAAAGAAGCATATCAGCTCATGAACATGATGCCTCTTGGTTTCGACAAAGCTGGAGCTTGGAGTAGCCTATTAGGTGCTTGTCGGATTCACAATAACCTAGAAATTGGAGAAATTGCTGCTCAGAATCTCATTCAATTGGAACCAAATGTAGCTAGTCACTATGTGCTACTTGCCAATATCTATTCATCAGCAGGCCTCTGGGATAAAGCAACAGAGCTAAGGAGAAAAATGAAAGAGAAAGGTGTGAGAAAAGAACCTGGATGTAGCTGGATCGAGTATGGCGATGAAGTACATAAATTCATAGCCGGTGACTCATCTCACCCGCAAAGCGAAAAGCTCCATGGATATCTCGAGACCTTATGGGATAAAATGCGGAAAGAAGGATACATACCTGACACATCTTGTGTGCTTCACAACGTAGAAGAAGATGAAAAAGAGGTTTTGCTTTGTGGACACAGTGAGAAGCTAGCAATTGCATTTGGAATACTTAACACATCGCCCGGTACGGTTATTAGGGTGGCTAAAAACCTCAGAGTTTGTAATGACTGCCATCTTGCTACAAAGTTTATCTCAAAGATTGTTGGTAGAGAAATCATCTTGAGAGATGTTAGAAGGTTTCATCATTTCAAGAATGGAACTTGCTCTTGTGGAGACTATTGGTAAATACATTAAAAAACAAAAAAAAATGCTCTTCTTTCTTCACTTGTATATCTTGTAAGTGGTGATACTTGTATTATTCTTATTTAAATAATCAAAATTTTACCTTTTTGCTTCCATGTGATTTGCTTCTCTGGTCCTACAGATCAGCCGCCGTTACTCTTTTTTAGTTGTTGTCTCTACGTGGTAGTGCTAAGTAATTTTTTTTATTATAAGCTGTATTATGCCAACTAAAAATCTAAGCTGCATAGAAACGGAAACGCGGAAACGATTTTTTTTTAAAAAACAGGAAACGAAAACGTTTTGGAAACG